TCTTACAGCTTCAGCTTTTCCTGTCTTGTAAACTGTAATCATGGGTATTCCAACCAAACCAAGACTGTGTCTTGAACCTGATGTCCAAACAAATATTGCATGTAGCTGATGGCTGTTTGATTGTGTCTGACCTTGCAACAGGCCAGTGATCATAACAGATAAAATGCTGACTGGATTTTATTTCTTGTCTTTGTTATTCAAAAAAAACTTTTTTATGAGCAGACTCTTGCAAAGATAAAATTGAGTAACACTGAGCAAGGCCCAAAGCTGACTCTTTCATGCACAAACACACATGCATACACACACTTGCTTGAAGGTCCAAGGTTATTGTCCATTATAAAGTATACAGTTAATGTCCTGCTGTACAAGTCCTGTTGGAGCTAAAAGTCATCGCACTTATGTCTCTAAAGCAATTCATTAAGTTTCAGCACAGATGTGCAACAGCTGCTTAGAGCATGAAGCGAGGCTGGAGATGCTGAAGCCTGAAAACCCCGCATTTCACAGGATTGTGCTGGGGCATTCAGGAAATGACCGTGTGCTGGATGACCAGCACAATCCTCAATATGTGATTCTCCCTTGCACTTTTGTTTCTTGATATTTGTTGTTCATTCACTTTCATTATTCTCATGCAAGATACTTCTCCAAGTGAATTAGTTAATGACAATTGGATTATTGAAGCTTGAAAAAGAGATTTCTCTCCATGAAACACTCCATCAAACATTTTAGATTCTCCCGTTTTATCTTAAGGTTGCAAACCTCCACGCAGCTGGTACGATGATGGCAGACAGCTAAATTATCATGTTGCTTGTTTTTACAGCAGGTTGCACAAAGTTTAGATCTACAATATTAAATGTCAGAACATCTGTCACCAGTTTATCAGATTGTTTTTTGTCATTGCCAGACCCAATGGTTGGGGCTTATACCAGAGTGATACCAGTGCTCTATTGGATCAGTGCATTATTGCACGTGTTATAATCCTCCTTACTTTATTGGAGCTAGACTTTAATTACTGTGGGATTTACTAATGAGTCAAATTTCTGTGAGGGTGGTCTGCCGTCACGTGTTGGTGAAAAGCCGCCGCACCCTCCGCAACAGTTCCCCATTAATAACACAGATGCACACAGACACACACGTGCACACATCTTGTGGGTGTAGATGTGGGGTAACCTGACCCCAGAGAGCTGAGTGCCTGTCACAGCTCATTAGCATTGGGATGAAATGAAGGCTGGTAGAAGTGGTTCTTTGCTTTAGTTGGAGCCGCACCAAGCAGGAAGCCCAAAGCTCAGTGCAGCCGCAGCGGCTCTGAAAACCACCCAGTCACCCAAACACGCTGCAGGAGCTCAGCACCTATATCGAGCACCCACGTCATCACACAAGCCTATTTATATCCAAAGCTATAGTCTAGACATAACTTCCATCATTTACTCTTTTTTTGCCATTAAATGTCACACTTCTCTGTGTAAAATAGCGAAACCGCTGGTTGTTTCCTTTCATTTCATATGACAGTCTGCTCCGGTATCAAATTGTATTTTAATGTGTTTAGGGAAGCGAAGTGGGTATAAACGCTGCTCATCTGATGAGCAGCCAAACTGAGTCAATATGATCCCTCCTGACTCCCAATTCCCTGCAGTCAGCACAGCAACAATCAGCCCAGCGTGCAGTGTCTGCTGAATACTGATGCAATTTCCTGCCCGCTCTCGTAGAGAGGAGTGGACGGGCTACAGTCTGGGAATAGACCAAATAAAAAAAGTTTTGTGCTTCACGTTGATTTTGAAGCATCTAAAGATAAACACTCTTATATTGGGATTTCACTTTGCAGGCTTATTGGCTCCTGTGAGGTAAATCAATTAAGCCTCATCAATATCTGTTCACCAGTCAGTTTTAACTATGTGATTGAATTGCATTCAGTGGAATTCATAGCCCTCATGAAACCACATTTATATTCACTAGATCCATTTTTTTTCCTACACCAAATTGCACACACCCATGAATATACCAGTCCCTTACATATTGCTGATTCATCAAGATCCATTAATTATTTTGTGAGAAATCAACAAAAAATGTGGAGAAAAAAAGAAATCCTGGATCTGCCCTCCTGTCCCTCTTCCTCCTCAGCATCTCCCTCCACATTGATTTTCTCTTACCAATGCACTTTCAATATTGAAATGGAGGATTTTCCATAATATCTTATACAAAATGAAAAGCTCTGGAGTAAGTTGGGGCTCAAACCACTCAATCAGTGTCTCGCTCACCAAACCAGGTTCCATCCAGGGATATTCCTCATCCATCTTCCTCTCGCTCCCCCTGTGAGCGGAAAATCCAGCGGAGACAAAGAAAAAAGTGGAGGCCGAGCACTGAACACACACACTGATAGATGATCCAGCCCATCAGCCGAGCAGTGGGGGGACAGCCCCAAGCTGAGCGCTGCATAATAGCCATGTTTCCCCCGTTTTTCCCTTACCAGTGGAAAATATTCTCACAATACCGTTTTTCACATCTTTTATGACTGAAAGCTGCAAATGAAACGCTCGATGTGGCTTTTCATGTAAGATGGATCTGCCCTGGACGTCTGAGCAAATCTCCAGCTGGGTTTCAGCCATCCACTTTATGTAGGTGGTGCGATTAAGTGCGAGGTTAATTGCCAAGCTTTTTTAATTCACACGAGGGCGTGGTGAATCACAGTGGTGTCTGAAAGAGCCAACTTTTTAGACGACTGCAGAGGTGTTCCAACATGAAGCAGATGTCGATAAAGGACAGCAGGATAAAGAAAGGAGTTGTGTAACAGTTTTTTTGGACGACTGGGGATTCGTTTCAGATACGGAGTGTTAACTAGTACAGAGATCTGTCCTGAACAACACATTTCTCACGAAATCTCTCTGGAATCATAAAATCAGGATGAAAATAAAAAGAAAAAAAAGAAAAAGAGACAGTTCTTAAATGTAAAGCAGCAGCTAGTCAACAGAGCTGAGGCATTTCTTCTCAGTCCAATAGAGTAGAGTCCCGTTTTCCTTTGCAGTATTTGTCTGCAGCTTTTCACATGGCAGATATTTTGGGATCTTTCTCATTAGTGGCTTTTCTGGTTCCCATGAGTTGGTAACTGTTTTCCAGGATGATGTTTTAACCTGGTTGGACAGGGAAAAAAATCTAGTCAAGGGAAGCAAATGAAGATTTGTTTTGGCTTCTCCTTAACAACAGTTTCCAAGGTGGCTCTGAGCAGCAGTCTTAAAGGTTTCCCATGTCTGCAGCGGAGCCGCCTCGTGAGCATGTTCAATGACATGTTTCAACTTTTGGACTATCATTGCTTCAATTGTCTTTATAATAATTTTTTTGTCAGCCTCAATGTCTTAATCATACTAGCATGTCAATAATTGTTTTACTTAAAGAAAAGGCCCATTTGGTAGAAAATTTGGTTTATACATTTTTGCTCCCATGAGGAAGAAATCTGTTGATTGTTGTAGCCTCTTCTTTAACTTCTGTAACATATACTCTTTATAAAGATGAATGTGAAGGCAAAGATCAAGTGGAGGGATTATTAAGATCATGTACAGATCTGTCACCTGTTGTTTCAGAGGTTATTTCTGATTCCTGCTGACATTTGCATAGTTCTTGAGAGAGTCTGCAATTGGTTTAGTAAAAGATAAGATCTGTCCTTTCTATTTCTGTAACAAAGTTTGTGTATATGTCCTCCAGTGGAAATCATGAATTCCTGGAGCTTCAATGTTTGAGTTGGTGTGTGTTTTCAGTTTTTACTTGACTCATATGACTGATGATATTTCATTACCTGCTTCCAATTAACTCTGACCTTTGTCTCTCTTTCAGAATTCGATGAATCTTCCCCCAGACAAAGCACGACTGTTGCGGCAGTACGACAACGAGAAGAAGTGGGAACTGATTTGTGATCAGGTGGGCATCAGTCTCTCATCTGTTTACTTCATGCACTGTGGCTGCATAATTACCAGTGAGATGCCACTCACTGGCTGTATAGTCACCAATCAACCCTTTCAGTTCATCAAAGTAAAGAAGAAGTGATACTACATGTTTGTACTGTACATTTCAACCATCTACTGATGCTCTGCTCTGCTGTGTGTCGTAACGACAGCGGCCATGCTCCATTGCCCTGCCTTTATCCTGTAAGCCTGTCTTGGCCTTTCCACCCTGCCCTGACTTCCCTGGTCAAGTGGGTTAAGTGGCACAGCAGGGAGCACACATCAGTTAGCCTTTAAAAAAAACTGGGCCTGTAACCGGCGTCAGTGCAGCGTGGAGGAAATAACAGAGGGTGCATCTTGTGCACTGAGCTGTGGTCTGAGTGCTCCACTCAGCTTGCAATCTCCGTGCCATGGAGTTTTTCTGCATCCCTGAGCAGAGGAGGAAAAAAAAAGAAAAACAGAGACGAGATCAAGACCACAGCCCACTACAGCTGTATTGATGGCCACTGAACCTGAAGGGAACGGTGCCAGAGGGAGCCCACGGGGCCGCTGACCAGCAGACAGACATCCTCTTTCAGTTAAGAAAGGGCTCTTGTGTTCCTCTCTCAGACCTGAAGTGAAAATAGTTGGTTTCCTTTTTTATTGTAAGTGGAGCAGTTGACACCAAAACACAGCATGGTGATTTTACTGACAAGCAGCTCTGGAGTTGCTCACTTACTGTAAAAGAGAGGAAATAACAAATATGCTGTGGAGTCATCTAATCAGTGTTATCTCTGTCTACAATGAGAGGTAATATACTGTAGGTGTGAAGCTTATATCATTGAACAATCCAATTATTTTAACAGTCAAATATGAAAGAACATTACTGAACCTCCGACGTCTGTACCTCCCCCTTGTTTTCCCAACAAGCCTATACCCATGACAGCACAGGCAGCTCAGGGAGTAAAGTGTTTTCTGTGTCATAGCTACAGTGAATCTCGTTATGTAACCATGGCAACTGTGATGGAGGGTGGCGGAGATGACAGGTGCACCCCCCCCTTTTAAACCCTGCAAAGTTTGAAATATTAAATTATCAGGCTTTATGAAGGATGGAGGATGCTGCCGATGTGAAAGACAGCTGGACTACGGGAGATGATGGAGTCATTGATGGGAAATCTTGAGACTGCTCAGTCTTTACAACCAACAACACAGTTCCTAAAGAAGTGGCCCTTATAGCTCAGTTTTTGTACTCGCACTTGAATGCACGACTGCATACAACAACTTTCTTCTGATTTGTGATTTCCCCTCTCAGGTCTCTGCTCTCGTCAGGTGCAGCGGGGGATTTGTACCTCACCTCTCAAATTAAGCACAAACCAGCTCTCCCAGACAAAACCACCACAGAGAGCATGTTGGAACCAGTTTATATGAGCTCCTAAAAGCCAGACATGTGTTCTTTATGATACACTCTCCAGCTTCTTGTATTTACAGCCTGTTTCCATTCCACACATTTCTTTGCATGCAACAGGGTATATTCAGCTGCACTCTGTGTCTGCCAGATATTTTATATCGTAGCTCTGTAGCAAATGAAACCCTCAAGCAGGACTGAGCAATCCGTCAGCTGTGTCCATGACGGGCAGCTCTCTTTCCTGACACCGCTGTTGTCCTTCCTGTTTTTGTGAGATAGTCACTCTGTAGCTGGGGGAAATGTGATGTTGCTGATAATGCAGCAGAGCCAGGAGCATTTCATTCAGTTTTTTATACACAGAGGAAAAGACATTAAGCTGATAATTTAATTCCATCTTGATCTTTGAGATTAGTTCTCTGGTTATCTGGTGCAGTGGAGTTTGTGTAATTTTGATTAAAGTGAATGACGTTACTTGTGCACATGGATGGCACCCGCCACTGCAAAGATAAAGCTTTCAATTCCCAGTTGCGCTATTTCTGGCTTGAGTTTCTTTGTGAAGTGTTGAGTGGGAAGCCAGTGAGGGATCCTTGTCGCTGCACTTGTTGGTCAGTGCCTCTGCACAGTGTGGGGTTAAATCTGGCCAAGATTTACTGAAGTTTATAACTGGGGGGGACAGGTTGTCTGTGACTGCTGAACCACATGAACTGGAGGGTAATAGGGCATTTCAAATTAGTTACAGGAAAAAAAAAATCTACTCCAGAAAACACCAACTTGCTCTGGTGGAACATTTTTAAGAATGAAATATATTGTTTGTGAAATGGCATTGAGCGGGTTGTAGACTGACTGCTATATCAATGAGTGTGTGAATAAATGAACAAAAGCACTTTGAGTGGTTGATAAGACTGGGAATGTGCTCTTTAAATATAGTCCATATACTGTAGAAAACCATGTAGCTACTGAGTTTGTGGATGTACAGACCTCGAGCTGACTGATGCATGTGTGACTTCCTACCATACTGGTGTAAAAACACACGTTTGTTTGAGGTTTTCTTCTTAGTTTCATGCAAATGTTATCTTCACCTTAGAGTCAGACATCTGGCTAGTCGATACAGTAAGGAAATGTGGCTGCTCTTTCCTTACTAAGTGAAGAATGCATTTCTTTAATTACATTTCTGTCTCTGTTCTGATTCAGCATTGTGGGGTAAATCACTTAATAGAATCATTCATGCCACTGTTGCGTGGCGCTCAGCCTGCTCCAAATACGGTTTCCCGCTCAACACACTGATCCAAATCCAGCACTAATCTGTTGTATTTATATTTAGAGCACAATAACGTGAGGGATTTGACCTAAAACCTGTTCCTGGCTGAACACAGGACATGTACTCACACAATCCCTGAGGCAGATTCTGCTTTTTTGTGCTCAATAAACTAATGACAATAATTATCAGAACGATCGGTGTATGATATTCTGCCTGCTGGATGACCTCAACTGTCGCAGTCTCCTTGCTCAGTGTTTATCAGACTGTGGCCAGTGATCTGCACAGTTCATCACCTTCCTGCTGTCGTCCACCTGTTTGGCAGCTAAACACAACTGTTCTGTTTCACTTTTTTGGCAGAAAGGTAATAGAATAGAAATTAATATTGTTGTCATGTTTGAAACCCTCTTTTCTGACAAGCTTAACATGCAGGGCCAGCACAGTTGTCCCCACAAAAGCCGTTCTGAAAGTGCGATGTGTAAATTATCCCTGAAAGCCCCCAAAGTTTGAAATCTCCAAGAAAAACGAACCGATACTGTTTCTTTACACCCGAAGTCAACAACACACGTGACCTTTATATAAAAGGTTTATCCCACAGTAAAGCAGCTTCTTAGCACAGGAGCCATTGTTATGTTATTTTCATTCGGCCTCTTAAAGTTGAACATAATCTGGGGATCCCATCAGTTGAAGGATAACTCAAGGGTGTAATTCACCCAGAGCCTGTTCAGTTTTAATCTCACGGCTTTAGTGTCAACAGCAGTTTCCTGTGAACAGGAGATGTGCTCAGACCTGTGACAGCGGGCATCTTATTACATCACACCAGTATGTGTGTCAATTCCACAGAACTGATAAAAATTACAGCTTTATTCAAGATTTTATTCTGGAATTTAATGATGTATTTTTTTAAATGTTTCCTCTCTTTGAATGTTCCTGCTCTGTTTTCTCACTCTGCTGTCTGCCCACCTCACTCTTGTTTTCCTCTTTTTCACAGGAGCGATTCCAGGTGAAAAACCCACCTCACACGTACCTCCAGAAGCTGAGGAGTTATCTCGACCCAGCAGTCACAAGAAAGGTGAATGCCCTCTTGCCAACGCTCTGTCCTTTTCAACCGGCCCTGCTGTTCCACAGCTGCAGCTTTTTTCCTTCCCTCTCGACCCTCTATCTCTTTGTTCAGGATATCCCTTCAGCTGGGGAAAGATTGCACACAGGTTCCTGCAGGAGAAAACTTGGGAACTTTAGATACAAAATAGTCGGCCGTGTGGTTTAATGAGAAAAGGAGACAGTTGTTTATCTGGCACGCCCAGGTCTGAGAAAGTACTGTGCAGCTGAACAGTCATTAACACACCATGCTTGGAGTAAGAGGAAAAAGCAGTGTGTAGTTACTTGAAGACAGAGGAGAGAATAATAGTGATGCAGACAGTCAGACTAATTGCTGTATCGACATGACATGACAGAAATAGTCTTATGTCATTGCAGCAGCCCGTTCAGTGTGTTTCCCTGGTGGGCTGCAGAGGGGAGTAAGAGGAGGGGCTCCATGAAGCCAAGTACCAGCCAGCGCTCGGGCTTTGCCAAATTTAAGTATTTTTGGCTTGAGTGATAGAGTCGTGTGGGGAGTGCTGGGACACCAGTCTCTGTGATAAACAAATTAGCCAACAGCCTCTGCCAGAATCACAACAAATTACTGAATAATTCAATTTACATTGACTGGAATTAAAATTTTAGCTTGAATGGCATGAACAGAGATGACTGTGGCAAAAGGGGAACAAATAGGCTCACAGCGGCACATGTACACGCTGAGTTACGTTTTTCTGCCTCATTTTTATAAAAGAGTTAATTCTGAGGTTCTGCCAGAGGTATTGTGATGTGTGGTTTAATTCATATTATCCACAAATTATGTCAGTTACAGAACCCTGACAGTATGTGTTCTGATGCTAATCAGCAACAAGTTAAATAGCAAAAACATTTTCAGATGCATCATGTTTGGTAGTTTGTGTTGATGTTGGGCTAGTTATACATTTTTCTGTGGCTGGTGGAGTGACATCAGGATCAGGAACCACTGGTTTGAAAAGCTCCTGCACGCCTGTGGCTTCTGAATCATAGTGTGAAAGATAACACACACGAGTCGATCTGATAAAAGCAGGAGTGACGCAGGTTAACAGAGACAAAGTCGACACAACAATGTGAGGTCAAAGCCTGACAGTTTGTACCAGTCTCAAGGTTATAGACATGAAGGCTTATTGACAGCTGGTATGAATCTGGCTGTGAAAAAGTAGATGTATTAAGTGTTTCTCGTCACTTCCTCCTGCTGTAGAGCTTTGAGGCAAGACACACAACCTAACTGCTCAAAGGGAAAATAGTCAGTGGCCATTGGTCTACTGTAGGTCGGTTTAATGTGTGGTTTCAAAGTCGTCCATTTTAAAAGAATAGTTTGACAGCTTTTAGAGATTCACTTATCAGCTTTTTGCAGAGAGTTGATTGATACCAACATTACCTCCACCAAGGAGGTTTTGTTTTCATGTGTGTTTGTTTGCCTCTTTATTTCTTATTTTGCCTGATAAAGCAAAATACTACCGAAGATTTCATTTTGTGGACATGACCTGAGGAAGACAGATCATTTTGAACAGGTAGATCCAGGATTTTTCTTTTTTCATTTTCTTAAACTTGACGGTATGTGTGCTCTCTGAGTGCCCTTCTTGTAAAATACATGGCCCCCGAAGAAAACAAAATCGACGAGCTTTAGAGGTGCTAGGAGTTCACCCCAGGTCAGTACCTGGTGAGCTGGTTCCCCCTCACACTTACTGCTAAGCTTTCATGTTTAACTGATGGAGAGAGTGGTATTGATCTCCTCCTTGAACTTTCAGCAAGAAAGTATTTTCCTTTTGTGACCTTGGTTAAACCTCTCTGGGTGTAAACACTGTCGTGGCTGAATGACCTCATCCATAGAAGACGGCCGCAAGTGTCTGTTTGTTTGTCCTCCCTCTCTCTTCTTGTTTAAACTCATCCGAGGCTACATGACTAACTGGGTCTCTATAAAACCATTCTAGATTAGACAACCTTTGAGAGACTTCCCTAAACCTCACTTTGTTCATTTATCATCTTCTTTCATCGGCTGTTTATGTTTAGTCTCATCGGCTGAGACACGTGGGATTTGGGGAAATCTGCCTGTTCAAAACCTCCAAGCAGACATAGACACAGGAGTTGAATGAGTAAAGTGAGAAGGGCGAGGGAGGGAGTGAGGAAGGGAGGGAGTGAGGGAGGGAAAGGCTGAATGATGGAGGGTTAGAGGGGGAGAAAGAGATGGACAGAGAGCAGGAGAGAGAGACAAAAAAACAGCACAAGAGAGTACGGAGGAAAAGAAAGAGTTATGGGCTTCTTCCCTCATTCCTGCTCCATCCCCCTTTTCTTCAAACTCAAACAATTGTGCCACTGTGAGAGAGCTGGAGGTCATTGCCTCTGCTTTCCATAGGCAGGCTCCGGTGCATTCCTCTGGGCTGCTCCCAGCCAATAGGCAGCCAAGGAGGAAGAGCTCCAGTCCAACTAGTCCCCAAGAATGTATCAGCCATTGATTTGTTTCCAGGATGACCCCTCCTGAGCTCGCACTCCCCCAAATTTCTCCCTGTTTTTCCCTCCCCCAGCTCGTCCTGTCTCCCTACTCTTACTTTCCCCCTTTCACTTCTCCCTCTCTGTCTCCTCTCTCTCTTTCCCTCTGTCGGCTCGTCTCTCCGTGATGCAGCTGGTAGTACTTAAAGTGTGGAGTGTAGTGCGTTTTGTGGGAGAAGAAGAAGAAGTTGGAGGGGGAGGCAGGGGTGCCTCTGGGAGCTTGGGCAGTATCCCTAAATATGCTCTGCTTTCCACAAAGACACACAAAGGACCCCTCCCTAATAAAAACACTCTGTTTCTCATCTCCTCGTGTGCCAAACACACACCGCCCAAGCCCAAAGACACAGACTACAGAGAGAGAGAGAGGGAGAGAGAGACCCCAGCTATGGGAACAGCTCTCTTCTCAGTGAATGTTAATAATAGGTTAACACAGGGCTGAGTTCTGTTTCCTCCCTGATACAAACACATCATGGAAAGTGACCCGGCCCTCCCTCCAACCCTGGGTGGATCTCTCCTTCTCTTCTCATCTCGTCGGTGAGGTCATGATTAGAGCTGCGAATAAAGATTTTTTTTTTTACATTCCACAATCTTGCGAATATTTTTCCAATCAATGATTGAAGCGTTTGTTATTTCAAACGTAATAAAATGGTGTAAAAAAAAAAAAAAAAAGGCCACCCAAAAGATATTAAGTTTTATATATATATATATATATAATGAATTAAATTAAATTGCGGAAAAGTAGCAAACTCTCGTATTTGAAAAGATGGAAATAGAAATGTTTTATTGTTCCTGCCCTCTAAAATAATGAATTTAATATGAAAATGGTGGAGATCAGTTTTATGCTGTACGACAAATCATTTCATTTATTCGTTTGCTGTTGTAGCACTAATTTGTTTGGTTCGTCCGGGACTTTTTCAGTTTCACACTGAACAGAGTTGCTGAAACCCAACTTAATAATCAGTAAATCAGTAAAATAACAATACAGCTTTTTTTTCTAGCACGATAGTTAAAGAGACATCAGTTCATGTGAGATGATGCTTTTCCTCTTTTTTGGATTAGTGTTGTATTAAAAGTTGAATTTTTGATTCTCTTATGTTCTCTCCCCAATTTCAAAATGGTTCAGAAAACACCTGAATACGAGTCTTTAAACAATGTGAGTACTGTTGTAGTAAGTTTGGTTCAGTCTGCAACTAAAAATTGCTTCCACTTACTGTATTTAAAACATAATTTACACATTTATTTAAAAATGTGTTTCATATTGATATTGCTGCAAATGAAGAGTTGTCAGACTTTTTCCTGTTTTATTTCCACTTCAAATAACAAGAATAGATAGTTAAAACTTCCTCTTTTTTTTAACCCTGACATACTTTTAATATTTTGAACTTTACAGGGATAAACGTATTAGAATATTTCTTTCTTCCTGTCATAATAAAATTGTGTAGAGGGATTGCGTGCCTTTGTGTTATTTATTTATTTATTTTTAAAGCACAGAAATCCCTAAGCAAAATATAAAAATATTCCCTTTGTGATATGTGGAACTGCAGAAGACAGCGACACATTAAAAGCTGAATTTTGCTTTTCTTCTTCTTCTCTGATGCAACAGTCTCACACCCTCTCATCAGGGATTTCCCTCCCTGTCGCAGTGAGGCCGCTCGTGCTCGATCACCACCGGTCATTTTCTCTGCTTCTTTTGTCCCTGCGGTTGTGTAACAGCCTGAAGGGCCCTTTGTTTTGGTTTCTGCATATCACCTCCTGTCAGAGGATGGAACCAAAAGCGGAACACGCTCACGTTCTCTTTCTTCTCTCTTGTTTTCTGTTACATTCGTTGGCAGCGCCAAACCCTCATGCACATCTCTCCCGCACCTCTTTCTAGTCACTGTATCCACAGTAACAGGAACAAGAATGTGTGTATGTGTGTCTGCCTGGTGTCCTGGCAGGGCCTTGGAGGTAACCAATTAGGTGACTTGATTTTATCACGCTGCTACCAGGGCCGATTACTGAACCAACATGAGCAAACAAGATAACAGGAACTATTTCTATATTCACAGGTACCAGTGACTCAGCTTGTCTTTTAGCCTGTTGAATGGTAACTGGCAACTATAGGGCTCATTCAAGCATCTGATGAGAACAACCTGGTCTCAGCTTTTGATTGTCTTATAATCAGCGCTGCTTTTTCCTGTTTCTAAATGTCATTGTCTGTTTGTTTGTTTGACCTTTCAAAGTTCTCTCCAGCCAAAACATCCCTGTGTTACCACTCACCGATTATACACTCATTGCGGTGTGATGAAATATTAACTTTCTTTCCTTCCCCAGAAATTCAGACGGAGGGTTCAGGAGTCCACCCAAGTCCTGAGAGAACTGGAAATTTCATTACGGACCAATCATATAGGGTGAGTCACGGCAGGATTGTGTGAAGCTTGTGCAGCGCTGTATGTCCTGGACCTGGTTATATTAGATTCAGGGGGAGAAAAAGTCTGGCATTCCAGACACCCGGAGACGCTGACGCTATAACCGCCACCACCATCCCCCATTCATCTCTGTGCTCCGTCCTAATATTACACAGAAAAGCCATGTGGCGATGGAGGATAGATGAATCGATTGATTGTTCGGTGCGGCTGACACATGAACAGCATCTGGAGGAAGGAAAACACGTTTTTCTTTCTGCACAACTCGATACATCAGTGTTTCAGTCTGCCATCCTGTTACTGGAGAGGTATTATAGTAGATGTTACTAAATATGTCATGATTTTGCAACGGATGAAACACATAGCATTTGGTTTTCTCCAGTAATTTCAGGTATTCTGGGATAACACGCTCAGACCTGTGACAGCTGATACTGATCCAGTGCAGCTCAGTCAGCCTCAATGAAAGATCAATATCTTAAGGAGAGTTAGTGAGATAACAGGTTTTACTGTTTTGTCTCGCTCCAGATCACAAGGCCTGTTTGTTCGATCAGAGGCCCCTGATAGACTGCGATTGATCGCTCCGCATTATTAATAAAGACTAATGCATTCTGGGATCTGTAGGCTCATTTATCAAGGCAAGTCCTAATTAAGTCTGAATCTGATTTTTATTGTATGTGATTGCCAAATAAATATAAGCAGTACACAAAGTAGGCACTGGTCATAGTACGTCTAACAGTTTCAATAACAGAAAATATACCCGACATAATGAAATCAATGAAAATAAATGTTACAGTTCTTAATCAATGAGGTATTAGACAAACAAAGCAAAATGGCAGCATTAAAGGGCAACTGGGCCAATTTTAGAAATTGATAAATGGGATACTGAATGTACTAATGAAACCTCAGCATTCATTAGTCAGGATGAGGATGAGAGCCAACAGCTGAGAGGGATGTTGGAGTAGGGCGACCACAGGAGACATACACTTTTTCCAGAAATGAAATCCAGAAAATTGGATCTGACATTTTCTGGAGTTTGCCTTTCACATATGAAGAATGCAGCAGGAGATTGTCTGAATTAGACACGTTTACAACAACAGGAAAATGTCCAAACTGCGGGCCAGAAAAAGTTCTGCAAAATGTCCAGAGCAATCGGTTCGCACATCTGAGTTCACAGCTCCTTGTGTCACCAAGATGTCGGGATTTCATTGTATGTCGAAAAGCAGGTACAAAAGACCCTGTTGACCCTGTGTTGAGGACAGGAAGCAGAAGAAACTTTGTGGGCATCTACTGGCTACAGACTGTTGTGACAGTAGAGAGGCAGAGATAATACATACATAACCACCACAAGATCTCAAATACACACACACACATTATCTAAACTGTCTCTTAATCCCTCTGTTTTTCTCTTTGCCCTCCCACTCACATATTACTTAACTCCAATTCATCTGTTTCACTCGTGCAGAAATTCTCTGATGGTCTCATGTTTCTCACAACACCGTCTCTCACACTCCTCTATGCTGTTTACACACTGATCGGATTCTGCTCCTAGAACCAAAATAAACTCCAGGCCGGCGAACCGGAGACGACATCTGGCCCAGCAGTCCAGGCGCTGTTTGGATTAACTCTTTTTAGCGACTTTATGTTGATAACCAGATTAATTTATTAATCGACCTAATCTAGATTAGGCAATGAGGCATTACCATGATGGCAGAGCGATGGGGAGGGAGGATAGCAGGATGGGAGGGAAAGAGAAAGAAAGATGTCCCCCGTTCAGACAGTGAATAATTCTGTTTCCTTTCAAAGGTGAAACAGAGAAACGTATTTGTCATGTAAGCTGTGTATAATAAGCAGATTGTCCCCGTACTTGCAGTGTGGACAGGGACAATCCCAGCTCCCTTTCTGCTCCTCACATGTTGCTCAGTGGCCAACAACATGTGGTGAATGGGAGGATTGTTAGTTAGTGTCCTCCGTGGTAATGATTACCATGTGGTCCGAAGAAGGCCACACCCCCAAGCCCTTTGAAAACACAAGGGGCCCTACCAGGCACCGCTAGCCTGGACGCTCTTGTTAGTCTCACTCACTCCCATGCAGTTACTCCACAGGGGACCCCAATAAAGAAGCAGCTCGTGGATTTTTAAAGCAGCTTAGTCCTACATCTTCATCAGTGCGGTGCCACTCAGAAGCCAGCCTGTGTGTCATTATGTTTATGCCCTGCAAATTTCTCTAAATCACCGAGCAATCAGGCCTGGCGAAGTGGCCGAGGCTTCAATAAAAGACAACAGAGAAAGACACAGGGCTTTAATAGGGTGCTATTAAATAAAGATGATCTGTGATTCAGCTCACGCCGCTCATGACGGTGGAAGGAGAAAAGAAAAGTTGCCAAAGGTAGCCGGAGCTGTCCGGTGAAAAACTCAGCTTTTCTGTGCAGAATAAAACGTGTGCTGAATGGGTGGCCCACTTCAGTGTCTGTAAGGAAGGTGGGAACAGACTTTAGATCATTCTGGGGACTTGGCTCTATCAGACTTATAAAGTGCGTGTGTGTGTGAATGTGATAGAGAAACAGATAGAAAAGAGGCAGACACTGTGTGTGTGATTCTTTTGCGAACACATGCCTGTGTGATATGTTTGGAAGGAAGGAAGCTTTGAAGTCAGTGGAACGTATCATTAAATTTTTTTCTTTCAAAAGACAGAGAGGGACGATGTATAATCAGAAAACATCTCTATATCAAGGTCAGGTACAGTCAAAGTCAGCAGCTAGTGTTAAACAAAATAAATTACATGATATTTTATACACAGACATCTGAAAATATCTCTTATTGTAATAGCGAGTTATTTTCCTGATCTTTGGTGTGGTATAATTTATTTTTATGTGCTCATTATTGTTTCTGTGATTTTCTCAATAAAGACTGATCACAGAAACTCAGACTGTGAAGATCTAAACAAAAACCAAATCTTTCATTTTCTAAGAGTTTGTCTGCTTTCATCCTCTCCTCAGGTGGGTGAGAGAATTCCTAAATGAAGAGAACAAAGGGCTGGACGTGCTGGTGGAGTATCTTTCTTTTGCACAGTATGCCGTCACGTAAGTCACTACCAGCTCTTTCTCTCTTTACCATGTTTGTGTATATGCAGGGCAGACAACCAACACAATGCTGCTATTCTGCACAGCCGCTGATGCATCACCACACTATGCCAGCACCACCACAACAACAACGACCACCACTGCCGCGACCGCCTGGTTGTCAGAAACACTGAGTCACCCGGGGCCCATTGCTAACACATTGGCGCTGTCTATTATACCAACCATAGGCAAACTATTCATGGGTTGACTGTGTGATTATTAGTCACAAAATACTGTGCACAGGCCAAAGAGCTGCAGTGTTAAATTTAAAGTTCCCCCACTCCCCCACCTCACTATATCTTATTATGGTGCGTCCACTGGAAACTGTGAATGGTTAGCTAAGTGTGTTAGGGCATATAAAAACTGAAACTAGCAGCTCTTTCCAAAGTGTCTGCCAAGTACAACTTAACATGAGCCATCGTAAACCAAAAAGCTTAGAGTTAAACATTAAATAATATTTTCTATGGTGTTAAAAATGGACAGGTCGCCACTTCATACCGCAATCCAGAAATGAAGCCAAGATATCCCAGATACGATTGCCACTATCATGGCATCACAACCCGTCTTTGAGAAAAGTTTATTTGACGTGTACTTTGACTTTTTGTTGGGTTCATATGCTGTCCACTAACATTGAGGAGGCACTATTTATAACCTATACTGCAGCTAACCGCTAAGTGGCGACTAATACATGAAGGGAGTCCTTTATAAAAATGGTGTGTTCAGTAAAATATTGTGTTCCTGCTTTCACAGGTTTGATGGAGACTGTGTGGAGAATAACCCGGAGGCTACGATAGACAAGTCGAAGCCCTGGAGCCGCTCTATAGAAGACCTTCATGGAGGCAGCACGCTGCCGTCTCCCATCACGGGGAACGGCATCACACGTGCCGGGCGACATTCCACGTTACGGTACAACACACACACACACACACACACACACACACACACACAAACCGCAGGATTCATCATTACCCAGTTGTTTGGTTTTAACTTTTCTAAGTTAACCAGTGTGCTGCTGGAGCTATGTGATTGTGCTGTGTAGTCATGAGATCTGTAAGACTTTAAATGGCTTAAGACACATTTGTGCCTCAGCATGCAAATATCATTTGTCTGGATTTATTTTTATTTTTGGATTGTCAGACTCAGGCTGGTTCAGCACATGACTGACACATGACTGACACATGACACATGATGGACAATGATTTCCCCTGTGACAGATGATGGAAGCAGAAGGAAAAATCTCTTCAATGGAATGACTTTTTTTTTTTTCCTGTTTTGTTGTTATGAACAGGCCATTTTAACTCCAAATCCTGGGCACAAAATATTTCACAGCAGTTAATTCATAAGCCCATGCTAATATACGCTTCGAAGCACAAATCCCATTCAGTTGTGCTTTATTTCTCTAATCCTCCCTGTCATTCCATTGATGTCTCGGTACAGCACTCGCTCTGACTTCTGCGACCTCTAATCCATTTGTTTGACGATGATAACTTTAAGACATTCTACACAAAGACCACTATTGATTCAATGAGGCACATGTCTTCTGAACATTAGTCATTGTCACAGTTGTTTTCTGTTCTTTCTATTCTCTCGAATATTTACACAGTTAGTAAATTAAGCACATTTTTAACTTTAATACAGTGATTTGGAAGTTTTCCCATGGTCATTACCATACCATGTGTCTGTCTTTCCCCCCATTGTACAAAAATGAAGCCAAAATATCCTGGATACGGATGCTCCCATCTTGCACTTTTAATATCATTTGGATCCAGAGTCTGCACTAATGATGAGGTTTAAAGCTGGTGTATCAAGACCCTGTCGATACACACACTCGACCTATCACATGGTGGTCCACCCCGGAAACCTTTGTGACAAGAGCGAGCTAAAACAACTAAATATAATATTTTGGTCCATGTCCCATCTGCTAACACGGAGGAGGCAGGGTTTATGAGCTGTCATGTCGTCAATTGTTATATCCAGTCTTTGCTCTTTACCAGACATTGATGAAACTGAAATCTTCTTTATTATAAACTACAACTGTAAATTTATTCATGGAAACTTTCCCTTGGGACCTATTGCTGAGTTTTTTTTAACATAATTATTAAATTACTGAACCAGTCCACTGTAGCTTCTGTACGTTATCTTTAGTTATATCCAAACAGTTCATTAAACTGTTATTTATATATTCTATGTATATACAGTATTGTTATGTCTATGTCACCCCAGTTAAATATTTCTATTTTTATGATAATTTGTAAAATGGCGTTTTACTCCTACTTGACTTCACTAATGACCGTCTGCTGCCTGCATCTGTTACCATTGTGTCATGTCTTGAGCGTGTGCAGCAAGTGTAACAGGTCAGTGTCTTCACTGAGGCTGACTGTCTCCTCTGTTCTGTCCTCGTGTTCCTCCATAGTCATCTCCTCTACTGTCTGCCCGTCTTCGACAGCAGGCAGGTCTCAGCTCCGCTCCGCTGGCTCACAGCGAGCTTTGTGCAGCCTCAACCATCCCCGCTCCCTCCCCACACACATACTGCCACAGTCACACACATGCACACATACACAATCCCCCCCCCCCCCGCCTCATTGTACTTTATACCTCTCTGCTAGCGGTGCCCAGTTTATTTGTCCTGCTGTCTGTGTCGGGGATGTGAATTATTTGTACTGCCAGCCTCCCCTCCTGCGCTTCAGACTGAATTCTTCTTTCCTTGGAGCAAATGGATTTTCTGCACTCATTGTTCTTTCCTCTGTGCCTGTGTGCTGCTTGTCGCTCCCTAAATGCCATTCTGTGCAGAAGCTTGCATAGTTTCTGCAGAAGTCCTGTAAAAAGCTATATACTAGTCAACATCCAGCACAAATAGATTAGGCTCCCTTTTAATATCTTCTGTATTTTGGATACCTGATGTGTTTTCCTGGTTAACACGAGACGTCACATTTATTAAGAAGCATTGTCTGATTCAACAATTCCTAGATGTCCAAATGTCCATTATACAGAATCTTTGTCCCTCATGCTGCTGTTAGATGAGCTTTGAATTAGAATAACGTGGACTCATCGATAACTGGATTTCAAATCAAGACTTGTGTGTATGTGTCTTCTTCAAACTGCCACCTTGAAGATCACCAAGCGCGCTGAGCTGTCCGAAGTGCTCTCAAATCAGACGGTACGCCTGTAGAATTACACAGAGATAGAAAGAACCCTGTAGCTGTCTGTGTCTGTGTTTTACAACCTTTTGTTAGAGTCGTCAGTGTTTGATGTTCTGTGGTGTTATTTGTGACGTGTTTATTATGCCCTTGTCCTTTTGAGAAAATTAGCCGGCAGTTGTTTGGATGGAACTCACATGTGTCGTGGAATGATTCCTGCTCAGTGAAAATGAAAATTAATTTAACTTCGACCACGGCACATAACTTAACTTTGTGCTCATTACAGTTACATTGAGACAAACATGGCATTCGAATTTAACCCAGGCTGGTTTATCCTAATTTATATTTTTTAGAATAGTAGACCAATACTTTTCAATACTTTTTACCCACTTCCATTAAATCATCATTTCACTCTATTTTTCAAGGTTCAACTATAAACTCTTTGTGACTTTTTCTTCTTGTTTTCTGATCCATGAAGACCGAAATGAAATGCCCAGTCATGAATTTGTTGTACTTCACTACACTTTCTTGAATTCTCAGTTTTATCTTTTTTTCTTTTCCTCCTGTGCTGTGAATCCCTCTGTGTGGTGTTTAATGTGTTTGTACAAAAGTTAAGCTGAGTAATTTCAAACAAGTCAAAGCAGGTCCAGGTATTACAGATGTCTGAGGTTTTGTAATCGGTTATCATTAGTTTATTTGCAATGAAGAAATGATTCGTCACTTAAAGTCATTTGTTCCAAGTCCTGCCACACCTTAGCTTGGATGTTGATTAAGCAGGAGATGAAGAAATGACTTGTGTCAGAAAGTCTCATGAATGATCAAATGCATTTATGTCAGGGAACTTGTTTTGCAACTGGCCAGTGAAGCAATGATACACAAATTGCAATTTTAAGACACAGAGTTTAACAGTTTGTTTTAGTTTTAACTCATTTTAGTTCATACTTTTTAAGTTACAGATGAGTATGTAACCATTTCTTACATACAACTGCTGCCTCTTCCTTGCTTTTGTCTTTTTTCAATGCACACAAACACAAACACACACACACACACACACACACACACACACACACACACACACACACGGTTGTGACTCAGAAATTAAGCCTTCAGGCACCGGAGAGCTGACACGAATCAGCGTGTCTATCAGCAGCCTGAAGACACATTTCTCCCTCGGTAACTGAACCTCGTGACATAAGTCTGAAATAAACAGTTTTTTTTTTTTTGCTCCGACTGGCTCGACATATCAATCATTAATTCTATTGCCCTGCTATTGCTCTCTGATTGTGAGTTGTGAGTTGCAGCGGGAGTTAAAGGTCTTGTTTTTGTTCAAAGCACAATCACTGCGCTGCATGCAAATGACTGGCTCCTATTGTGTAAGCTGTAAGTGATATCTTTGTGAGGGCCGTAGATTATATGGCCCTTGTGTGTGAGCGTTAATGTAAGGTGGTGTGGCGGTTAATAGCCTCCCTTATGTGAAGGGCTCATTCACTAATGGCATCTGTTTTCTTGTTTTTGTTCCTGAAACCTCCTTTAGTGAAATAGTTGTTTTTTTCCTCTCTTCACTCACTTGTTCTTGTATTTTACGTGATTTTGATTTCAGCTGTAACACTCTGCCCAGCCGGCGAACGCTGAAGAACTCCAGACTGGTCTGTAAAAAAGACGATGTCCACGTCTGCATCATGTGCCTGCGTGCTATCATGAACTACCAGGTAAAGCCGTCTGCATTCTGGACATGTCCCTTTGGTCTTAAGCCCATTTATCTAACAGGAACAAATTACATTTTTTCTGCTGCTGATTCTTCATATTTTATTTATTATGCAGCAGAAAGCACTTATTTCTCATTCAGTGTCTCCTTTTCACCGTTAATCAGCTTATTTGTCTCTGTCTTTCTCCCTTTCATTCATCTTCCAGTATGGCTTCAACATGGTCATGTCACACCCACATGCTGTGAATGAAATTGCACTAAGTCTCAACAATAAAAACCCCAGGTAAGTTCATAGTAGGAGTTCAAAATGACCGCAACAGCAGACATTTCAAAAAGATCCAAACATTTGACCAACTTGGACCAGACTGAAAAGGGAACAATCCAGCGTCGGCCTCAGTGCACCTGCACAGTCTGATCCAGAGTGTGTTTGTCGCTCCCGGGCACATTCACCCTGACAGACGGGTCAGGCCACCGCTGGCACACACAAGCTGCTTACTGAGGCAGCCACCAGAAGGACTCACTTCTGTGTGAGAAAGTGTGGTGGTTGGTGTGTTTCCACTTCATGGCCGGGGGCCTTAGGATTCCCTCAAAAATGAATGTGAAACCACTTTGCATCACCTGTCACATGGAGTCTCATCCAGGCAGAGAAATCCTGCTTGAATGAACCAGAGGCTGGACACACTCTGTCCTGTGCGCTCCAACACACACACACACACACACACACACACGGATTAGGCCCTAAGTATTAATATTTCATACCTGCTGCTTAATCCAAAGGATTAAAATGGGAAACTCTATCACCTTTGAGGCTCTGATATTACAAAACAATTTTCCACACCTCCCAATGTCAGTGTTTCAGGATAATTAAAGTTTTATATGCTCATTAGGACCTGATGATATCAGTCGGGATTAATAATTATCATGATGTCACATTATTATTGATTTTTTTTCTTCCTCCTGGATAAAGTTTGAGGTTCTAAACAGAAAAACATTTTACTGAGCTTGATCGATTATTTGTTATACCTCCTCACTATATACAGTACATTGAGCCTTTGTTATATTGCTATTGATGGGAGTTATATTGTGGCCATTACTTATATTGTTTTATTGTCCAGTCCTTTTCTTTCCCAACATTTGTAAAATGATAGTACATTCATTCTAATAAACACATTGTTCAGTTTTACATAAAAGTTTCGGTGTTGGTAGAAAATGACTGTTTTGTGTTTTCTGTGTGCTTGAGTACAAGTTAGCTGCAGCGCTGACACTTGTAATTTACTCACCATCCCTGCCTTTATTCTCTCCTCATTTTACAGAACTAAAGCTCTGGTCCTGGAGCTCCTGGCGGCGGTCTGTCTCGTGAGAGGAGGCCACGAAATTATTCTCTCTGCGTTCGACAACTTTAAAGAGGTAGGAGCTGCACGGAGACGAATATGTCATTACATTTTAACTGTGTAATTTCAAGCAGGGACTCAGCACCGGAGGAATGCTGGCAGATTCCTCATCGCTGCAAAACAGTAGCATCTAGGAATGAGCGCTTTGTCAACAGATAACAGATGCAGGTTTAGACTCATAACTCAGGAGGACCTCCTGAGACAACAGCGAGTGTGTGTGTGTGTGTGTGTGTGTGTTAGGTGGATTTTACAAACACATCAAAGCTGAAAATAGCAGAGAAACAAAAGTTGAAGGCAACCTCACCCTGACCCATGTCTGTTTGGATGAGGTATGCTGATTCCTGGAGAAAAGAGTGGGAGGTGTGTGATGGAGCAGCCCCGGTTTGTTGCATCCGGCCCACAAACATGGGCCGACTGCGGTTAATGCAATATTTACACCACTGAATGAAATATTGAGTGTTGCTCTCAGAGGCATTGGCATTAGTGGGAGAATAAAAGCTCAGGGAGAACATAGCTCGTTTAATGAGATGAAGGTAGAGAAATGATCATGATCGTGTTGGCTGCTGGAAGAACGTGAGGATGACCTCGTGTTCTGTATTTTTTCTTCTTGACTCTCAAATGTTATGTTATTATATCTAGTTTGCCGAGAGACTTTGATAATCTCTAGTCAGAAGTTGGATGGGGAGGCGGAGGCTCGGGGTTGTTATTCAGAGGTTTTTGGATACGCACCCCTCCACTTTCTTCCTCCCTTCCCCTTCAATTCTTTATTACACTCCGTCTCCCTCATTGCCCTCCTCGTGACCTGTCTGAACTGCAGGCAACTTTTACTTGCTCTCTCCACCTCTTTTAAAAAAATCTGTCTAAATGTTTTTTTTTAATTCTCCTAAATTCACCAAGGCTTTTACTGAAAGAACAAAAAGTACGACAGTGAGAATAAAACAAAAAAAAGTTGTAATATTACAAGAATAAAGTTTAAAAAATTTTTTTTATGAAAGAACCATAAAGGGAACCCAGGAGTCCCACTCATTCTGGATCTAGAATCTTGAAATTAATGTCAATGTTACAATGCAAACTATGAAACCTCACAGCACATGATGTCACCACAGTCGACAACCGCCAAACATTTTATTTTCCACAATAGAGCCTGAAATTATGACTTTTTCCACGTAAAGTTATGACCAATACCCTATCCAAAAAGACGTCAGTATAATAAAGGTTGTACCAAAAATTATACTGAACATAGATAGTATATATAAAATGAAAGAATGATTAAAGCAGTAGTTGATGAATCACTAAACATAGTAATTATCACTTTTATCCCACCAATTGGGCTGATAATGTCTGGTTCTCTGACCCACGTTTTTGAGATAAAAGGGTCACAAGGATTGAGGTTTTATTTTGTCAGTTCTCTATAATCCACCAGTAAACTCCTTCATCTCTCTGAGTAGCACAAGCTTGTTTTAATTCTAGTGATGCTTGAGGGGCTGAGATTATTTTTGGAGTGTAAGTCTTAATAAGCATCTTAGATATTAAGACTTAAATCACATGTCAGTTAGGACTTAATCAACGTGAATTATCACAGGTAGGTGGTGCAGGCGTTAATAATGCAACTCACTCGACTGATTGTTTTGATGGATGTTTCTTTCCTCTCTTCACCTCGGCTTCTTTAAATCCAGTGGTGTGCTTTGTTTTGCAGGTATGTGTGGAGGAGCAGCGGTTTGAGAAGCTAATGGAGTATTTCAAGAACGAGGACAACAACATTGACTTCATGGTATGTACACACACACGCACACAAACAATCCTAATGATTACTGATTGTGTGATTGCCCTGCGTTCCCTCGTACATCACAAAGCAATCCGCAGGAGGTTTGTGAGTCTTTTTGTGCTGAAGAGATCCAGAATCAGGGAGTTTGCAGTTTTTCTTCACTGTAGTGTTCCAGCAACTGTTATGTGTAGTTCAGAAAGAGAGGACTGTTGTGTCTACAGCACAGGCTAGTGATGCAGTGCTGACAGTCACACTGCACTGACCCTTATTGAAGATGCCATGACAAACCTGTTATTTCGAAGCTGAGGAATGTAAATTATCCTGGCTGATAAGAATTAAAAGACACCAGGAACAAAGAGCCAACACAGACTGGATTTTTATCTCTATATCCTTTTAAGTGGGGGATGTACACAGTATGTGTGTGTGAGTGAAAACCAACAGACGCTGTGTTTAAATAGATCCTTCCATAGGGCTGTAAATTGAACTACTGTCACAAAACGTCGTCAGACAGCAACACTAAAGCATTCAGACTTTGTCAAAGTCACCATGTTGCACGAGAGAACTGAACTTCTTACAGTGAAGTTCATTAAGCCACTGTCACTGTTAGAAGTGTGTGTGTGTCTTTGTGTGTGTGTGTGTGTGTGTGTGTGTGTGTGTCTGTCTGTGTCTGTCTGTGTGTGTGAAGATCTTTCTTTATCTGTTTATGCAGCCAATGAAGTTAAACTGGCTGATTTTTCAATCCTTTAATCAGCCAGATAAGCTCCTCTTTATAAACACAATCATCTGGATTTATACACACAACTTCTGGGAATCAATATTAAAACAGATGTGATAATGACCATGAAACCATTTCAGAGTCGTAGAAAAACTCAAACCTGTCCCAAAATTGTGTCTAAACTCTTTTTAGTATTTTCAGCCGTATCTCAGGGTCATAAAACATTTTTATTTTCTTTGATTTACATCTAATGAAGTTCACGCAGTGTTTCAGTAACCCTCAGGAAGCCTATTGTTACCGTGTACCCCATCCACTGACTAAATAGTGTCTGTTTATATTCTTAGGTGGCATGTATGCAGTTCATCAACATTGTCGTGCACTCTGTGGAGGACATGAACTTCAGAGTTCATCTACAGTTCGACTTCACCAAGCTGTGCCTGGACGACTACTTGGACGTGAGTTGGGAGACAATGAAAGAGGAAAAGTAGACAGACAGTCCAGAGCGTGCAATATGCTGTCTTTACAGCTGCCCTGAGACATCAGTAAGGACTTCAGAAAGTCAGCTCTTTAAATCCTTGTCTCCTGCCTCGCTGCAGCGGTGAGATCGATGCTGGCCTCGGAGTCGACAACGTCAACCTCATGCTGTGGACTAGAAAAATGAATGTCTCCCCACTCTCACTAACCTGGCTGCTTTGCTCGGATTGTCACGCCATTTCTTTGTTTTTCAGAAACTAAAACACACAGAGAGCGATAAGCTGCAGGTTCAGATCCAGGCGTACTTGGATAACGTCTTTGATGTGGGAGCCCTCCTGGAGGATGCCGAGACCAAAAACGCTGCCCTGGAGCGGGTGGAGGAGCTCGAGGAGAATATGTCTCATGTGAGAGCCTGTGACTGTTTATTTTTCTGTGTGAAGATTCGTCTTTTCTCTTGCAAAAGTCAGCACATTAACATCCAACATGTCAGGATGTTGATGGCACGGTGAACTGACAGGGTGCTGAGCATGTGTGTGGCTCCTGTCACATTTACTTGTCATTCAGTTCCCTCTCAGCATGAGATTTAGAATGATCTAATGTGTCTGCTGTCAACCACAGGCCAAGACTTTATATATGGACACTGTAAGTCCTCATAGTATGTTTTACTCTGGAAAATAAATGTTGAATGTCATGTATCTAGATCTCTTTGACATACTTAGTTGGGTGGTGCCCCTGCAGTGAATTGGTGTTCCTTTCTTGTTTTTCTTTTTATAGATGACAGAGAAGCTGCAGGACATGGAGAATGAGGCCATGTCCAAGATCGTGGAGCTGGAGAAGCAGCTGATGCAAAGAAATAAGGATCTTGAATCCATCAGGGTCAGACTCCTTAATTTGTCATTTACTTACTTGCAAGATCTAAGAATCAAGTCTTCTCATAATAAACAGTTGTTAACATGTTTACTGGTTAGATTTCCACTCTCATGTCAGATAATCGTGTGTCTGATTTCTCAATCCTTTGTTTTGGACTTTTGTCCTCTAATATCTTTGTCCCTTTCTCTTCCTCACGCAGGAAGTCTACAAAGACACCAGCTCGCAGGTTCACTCCCTGCGGCAGATGTTGAAGGAGAAGGACGAGGCCATCCAGAGACAGAGTAACCTGGAGAAGAAGATCCACGAGCTGGAGAAGCAGGGCACCATCAAGATCCACAAGAAGGGAGACGGGGACATCTCCATCCTGCCCTCGCCGCCTCCTGGTGTGGAAGGCGTGCTGGGTGGCGTGCTCGGAGGAACAGTTGGAGCTGTCAGTCCAAACCATGTAGGAGTTGTAGCGGGTGGGCCTGCTCCGCCACCACCACCTCCTCCTCCTCCACTGCCAGTGAACGGCACATGTAGGTTTAATATTAGTCCGGTTTTCTTACATTTTAACATATTTCCTCCTGTGTAAAAAATTTAGTTTGAAGTGAAAAAATATTCACCTGAATCAGTAATAGTTTAATATCTAGTTAAAAATGGACTCTTTATTATAAATGACTCATCAGCATCTTGTTTTTTTTCACCCTCCCATCTCTCCTCCCTCCTAGTGCCAAACGGACCTTCATTGGCCATTCCAACGGTGGTGGCTCCCCCGCCTCCTCCTCCGCCGCCGCCTCCTCCACCCCCTCCTCCACCCCTAGGACCAGCCTCAGCCCCTCTGCCTCCTCCGCCTCCTCCCATGGCTCCACCACTGCCTGGCTGTGGGACGCCCACCGTCATCATGAACTCTGGGTTAGCTGGTAAGGAACGATACACAAGATATGTTTCATCTCCTATAGTGGGCATAGCAGCTTCTTTCCTTAAGTCATGAAACAGGGCTCAAATATCAGAACAGCAGAAGCTCATGTAATAGCTTTTCTTGCTTTGTTAGAGCTGTGAGGAACTCCAGTTGTATTCCACCCACTGTCCTCCATTCACTTTATGCTCATTTCAATGCCGACGCTTTGCAGCTGCTTTACAGTGAAACTCTTCTTGCTCCATTATGTTTTTATGCTTTTAAACTTGCTGCTCCTGCTTAGATGATGAGAACTGATCAGTAATAAAGTCAAATCCTTTGTGTGTTCGAGATGTGTGCGTTAAAACTTTCTAACTAACTTCTACCACTTTCTTACTGACCTGTTTTTAATTGATTCTTTCTTTTTTCTGCCGACCAGAGGGACCCATCAAACTTTTCTGTAGGTTACCTGTCATGTTTGGTGATTTACCGCCCCGCTGTCCCCCCTGTTCTCTTCCTTTCCCACAAGTTATGAAAATGGTATTTTAAGTCTTTGAATCAAAGGACAACAGATTCACACCAGTGAAAGCAACATATATAAAATACCATCTTTCAGACTTCTGCATGATTTAGCCTCACACCCTGCTGTAGTATTGTGATTGTGTGTTTTTGTGAATTTGTGATCATCACATCTTTAGAATTGGTTGCATGCTGTGGCACAGACCTGCTGTGGTGTGCTGATAAAAGGAAATGACAAGTATAGCTGAAATACTTTACACCTTTATAATGATAGTCACGCTCCGTCCCTGCTAACACCTCATCAGGGGGCCATCTCATCTAACGGCCTCAGTGAATCACGCCAGGTGGCTACAAATAGTTTTAATCTCTGTCAATAAATAGTTTCTCACATGGCCAGGAAGGAAATCCTCACCATATGCACCTTTTACTGTGCAGGTGTAACCTTTGGCCTTATTCTCCTGCCCGAGCATAGAGGCTTCACTCTGCGTGGGGGACATAAAATAATAAAATAATAAAGTGTGTTTTTAGACTTCACACAAATCTAGGAGTCATATCCGTGTGTGTCACAAACCTCAGATACCCGTCTACCCCGTCACCTTCACGTGTGTGAGTGTATGTGTGTGTTCTCTTATAGTAAGATAACAATTCCCACTGTGCTAACTCATCTGTGCCCTGTGTAGCCGTCAAGATCAAGAAACCCATCAAGACGAAGTTCCGCATGCCCGTCTTCAACTGGGTCGCACTTAAACCGAACCAAATCAACGGCACCGTCTTCAATGAGATCGATGATGAGAGGATACTGGAGGTAAAGAGTCTCCCTTCACTCACCCGTTGTTCAGCCATGTCCGGGCCTCAACGTACATATGATTCTTTGTTGACGTCTTTCAGGACTTGAACGTGGACGAGTTCGAGGAGATGTTCAAGACGAAAGCCCAGGGCCCGTCCATTGACATCACAGTGAGCAAGCACAAGGTCATCCAGAAGGGACCCAACAAGGTGTCCCTGCTGGAGTCCAACAGGGCAAAGAACCTGGCCATCACGCTGAGGAAAGTGGGGAAGACGCCCGAGGAGATCTGCAAGGCCATTCAGCTGTAAGCCCTTTCAAAATAAAAGTCCCAAATAACAGTCCCTTCTTTATGTCTTTTTACCTTTAATGAGACGTTATTAAACATCCCCCCCAAGACTCAGCACATTACTGGCTGATCTGTGTCTTTTACTTTTACTTCCATTCTGTTACAAACTTATTTACCTCTGTCCTCTGTTCTGCCCGTCGTCCAGAATCGACCTTCGCACTCTGCCCGTGGACTTCGTGGAGTGTCTGATGCGCTTCCAGCCAACTGAGAACGAGATTAAAGTCCTGCGGCAGTTCGAAAAGGAACGCAAGCCGCTGGAGAGCCTGACGGACGAGGACCGCTTCATGATGCAGTTCAGCAAGATCGAGCGGCTCATGCAGAAGATGACCATCATGGCCTTCATCGGCAACTTCAGTGAGAGCATTCAGATGCTCACGCCGGTGAGTTCTCTTATTAAATTTCAAAAATGATTACACTTCCAAAGACGCCTCCTTCACAATATTGTTATAACTGTTACTGGTGTGTGATGTTGGAATTATAGAACGCAACAATCTGTTTCTCTGCAGCAACTTCACGCAGTCATTGCAGCATCGGTGTCCATCAAGTCGTCACAGAAGCTGAAAAAAATACTTGAGGTAATTGAAAAATTGTGTTTAGACTGAGCAAAACATTGAAAACATGTGCGGTTGCCTCTTTCACACTTGTGCTCATCGCTGTTCTGCAGATTATCTTGGCACTTGGAAATTACATGAACAGCAGCAAAAGAGGAGCGGTGTACGGTTTCAAGCTGCAGAGTTTAGACTTGGTAAATTGAAATTGCTTCCTCCGACACTTCAAAATTTTCTAGCGCAGGTTTTCTGGACATTTAACGTCTTTTACTTTGCTTTTACTCTCAGCTAATCGATACGAAGTCGACGGACCGCAAGATAACATTGTTGCACTACATCGCCAATGTGGTGAAAGAGAAGTACACACAGGTTGCTCTCTTCTACAACGAACTGCACTACGTGGAGAAGGCAGCAGCAGGTGAGTTGTGCAGCGCAGATGTGTTTGTCATTTTAACATATCCTAGAGATCTGAGCATTTTATCTCCAGCAGTGACATGGAGGCAAAATTCTTGTGCATCCGCCGTGTTTGGAGATTTAAAGCAAATGTTTTACCTTCAGTTTCAAATTGAGTTTTGGGGCAGTTCTCACCCTTAAGGCCTGGTCTTGCTCAATGTAACTTTGGGATGAAGTGTTTAACTGACTGATATCTACAGAATCAGGTCCAGCAAGTTCAAGAGCAATGCTGAACTGTAGATCAGATAAAAATGTTATTAAAAACCAGCGTCTATTGATAAAGATGTGTTACAGCAGCAGCTCTTTTGGTTCAGGAAGCCGGGGATCATGGGTAATATCCACCATTTAGTTGTGTTTCAGTTGAGTGAGATAAATAAGCTTTGTTTTCTCTACTTGAAAATCATTAATCGCTCGGACACAGAGCCCAACTGTGGCTGCAGAGGGCGCTGTTGCTCAGTCAAAGCTACATAGTCTTGCTTAAATTGATTCTGTGTCTTTTCATTTGCCTGTAGGATTGAAAGATCCCTCAGCATCATGTTGGTTTTTTGCAGTTGAATATGAGGGTTACACGTGTTCTCATGAGTCTCTCTGTGTTCACAGTGTCGCTGGAGAACGTCCTGCTTGATGTGAAGGAGCTGCAGAGGGGCATGGAGTTGACCAGACGGGAGTACAGCATGCACGGCCACAACACCATGCTCAAAGACTTCATCGCACACAACGAGAGCAAGCTGAAGAAGCTGCAGGACGACGCCAAGATTGCACAGGTGACACGAGCACACGCACTTTGAGAGTACAGAGGACCCTGTTTTTTGTCCACTCAGTGAAACAGTCATCCGAATGTTTTCCTCTGCTCGTCCAGGACGCCTTTGACGAGGCGGTGAAATTCTTCGGGGAGAACTCCAAAACCACGCCGCCGTCCGTCTTCTTCCCTGTGTTTGTGCGTTTTGTTAAGGCTTACAGGGTGAGTTGGACAATCGTCTGTCTCTCTTTCACACACACACACAGACAAGTCGTGGAATTCACACACCTGACCAGCTGTTAACCTCCATACTTATGCCTCTTTAACTCCAAAATAAGCAGGTATGCGCTGGAATTTAAAACCTGCAAAAAAAGTCATAGAGTGAGGCACCTTCTCTCTTCCTGTCTTGCCAGAGTTGCATCTTTCATGATACAAAGAAAAAAACGGCTGTTGCACATTGTTCCTAAGATGTACCGAAGATAAGTAGACAAAGGTTCATGGCTCTTTACCTGCCAAATCGTAGAAGTTCAATATAAAGTTGTGCTGCAAAAGGTGCAGCATCAGCGTCAAGACTGCCATAATAAAGAAGAAGAAGAAAAATCTGTGCTCCCCGGAAGTGAATCCTCATTGTATCAATTCCCATTGCAGACAAAAGCCAGATGTTAGTGGGTTTTTAAGACCAGAGGAAAAGGATAGTCTCTTTGTCACCACAGCAGCTGAGGAAAGGCTGAGATGTAAAGATATGTGGAAATGCTCATGTGCATTGTGTGTTTGTGGTCATGAAGTGTGTAAGGACTTCAAGGATGTATCAACAGTACTACATTACCTCTCCAAACTATTACTTGTTGCAGTGGTGTGTTGTGTTGGTGACGTGATGCTCTCTGTAAGTAAACAGCTTCATGTGTTCCTCAGAGCAGCAGTTAAATCAACAGGTTTTACATGAACTGGGATTCAATCCAAGACTCTGGAAGTGTTTTCCTGCTCTCAGCTGTTTTCCCTCCACGGCAGCTGTGTGTCAGCTCCGTTCACTGAACCCCTCCTTCTCATTAATGTCTCCGCACTGCTCACGATACTGAAGCATCATCTGAGTTTGCAGATGTTTGGTTGCTGCTGTGGGTTTTAAAGCTGCAGTGTTGAATTCTATAATGGCAACAACAGCAGTGTGTGTTGTATTTGTGTACATGACCTGAGTGCGTTGTCTCTTTAGCAAGCAGAAGAGGACAACGAGCACAGAAAGAGACAGGAGCAGATAATGATGGAGAAACTTCTAGAGCAAGAGGCCATGATGGAGGAAGACAAGAAGGTGAGTCGCCTCTTTTTCCCCACCGACAGTGGATCACGTAAAACACCCGCTCCACTTCCTCCTGTTCCGCTTCATCCTCTCCTCCTCCAGATTAGTTGAACACCTGCTGGGTGCAAGTTATATCTGGTTGTACAGTCTGAGACATGCTGAGCCACATCACATCCACTCAGGATCTGAGCAGTTATTCTTCTGGAATGGTTCAATCAACTCACAGGCACAAGCTCTAGAATGAAGGGATGAGTGGAACGAGAGAAAGAGAAAATTATGGGTGTGAGGATCCTTTGCAGAACATACATTAGTCACAACTAAGACAAATAATGTGTGTGTGTGTGTGTGTGTGTGTGTGTGTGTCTGTCCCTCAGTCTCCTTCCCATAAGAACAAGCGGCAGCAGCAGGAGCTGATCCAGGAGCTGAGGAAGAAACAGGTGAAAGACAGCCGCCACGTCTACGAAGGCAAAGATGGAGCCATTGAGGATATCATCACAGGTAATG